CGACAGGTACAGGATGCCGATGACCCGCCTCGGATTCGAACGTGCAGTGCGGGCCCCTTAGGGAGGGGGCTCCCGCCTGAGACTTCCTCGCAATTCACTCACAGACGAGGCTCCCGCCTGATACTTCCTTCATATTCAGGCCCGAGGAGCCCAAAAGTGACGACAGTTACAGGATGCCGATGACCCGCCTCGGATTCGAACATGAAATGCGGGCCCCTTAGGGAGGGGCACTGTGCGCTTCCAACCCAACTACCACGCGGGCCCAACGCCTCCGACGCATTATGAGTTCAAATCACTAACCGGGCACAACCCCAAGTGGCCGCGTGCCACTGGAAGTCTTGGGCCAACGCCCATCACAGAGCTTCGTCCAAGCAAGTGCGTCATCTTCGACGACTGCAGCTCGACTCGCATAAAGACCGAGCCCCCCAACGTCTCTCGGGCCACAGTTTCCACGCGACCCATCGATGTGCATGCAGACGAAAGATGGGTTCCGATTTCGCACCGACCAACCACCATAATAAGAGCACTACGCATATGCACAGCAACATCCTGCAGAGCAGTGCGGCCTCGAGGAGAGCTACTGCGACCGCTTGGAGGAACTGCGCCACGCTTGCAGCGGTCGGAAGAAACTGCTACCACGAGAGCAAACTACCCATTATCGCCGACAAGAAAATATGGCAACACACGACAATACAGCCGCGACTACATCCCGCCCGAGCCCCCGCGGATACTGATGCCACCAGCGCAGACCAATGCCGATGCACCAACGGACCAATGACATGATGACCGCTACGCAGGCTACGGCATCTCAGCATCAACAGCGACAGGGACTACCCATGGGCCAAGATGGGCAGAGCATCCGACTTCCACGAAGCCTGCCTATCACCGCTCGAACGAAACAGATACTACGACATGCGCCTACCCAGTGGTTGGACCGCCTACTGTCACTGCGCCGACGATGCAGACGATGAAGATCAAGGAGAAGACCTATGACACCATGCAGTATACCACCACGAAGCAACCAACGCATGCGCATTCAGACTCCCCAGCGGCCATCTACTACTACCTGGGTGGCACAGGTACCTCAACAAGTGCAGCAACGAGGTCTTTGTCCACCATGACGGCAGGCAGTGCCTACCACACCCACCACTACGACCCGACTCCCAAGACGCGCCGCTACCCGCCTACACCCTACCCGTTACGACCTGCGCGGAATTGATGGAGGTCAACAGCGCCGTCAGAGCAGACTCACATCAACCATTACGCGCGCCACCCAAGCACCCGATGTTTTTAACGATGCGGTAACGACTTACCAGCATTCGCAGCAAAATACCGCGACGGCCTAGCATTCAGAGTACAAATCGTCCAGACCTACGACCGCATTGCCGCGCTGTTTGCAGGCAAACATGCACCGCTCGACAATGCCAATATCGCAGCCATACGGGAAGTCGCACAATGGCTCAACATCTGCCACAACGAGCACGACCTGAAGTACAACTGGGCAGTGCGACTACGCGACGCAGCGCATCTACTACAACGCATCTGCAACCCGCATGACCCAATGCCACACCTCACCAGAAGGCACTACGACAGCGACAACTCACACCACGCAGACAGCATGACCAACGCACAACAAAGTACAAGCAAACACCAACCAAACCACCGCCACCATCAGCGCAGCCCATGCTCAAACCGCTTGCATCTACGCGGCCATCGTCTTGGACTGCCGGTAACATCCCGACCAGCCAACCAAACGCCAGCTGACATCCTGCACAGCCGAGCAGCGGAACACCAGACTACACAGCAGTCAACGCAACCTAAAGTGCTCGAGCAACCAGTAACCGCAACGCAGGACAACTCGCCACGCGCGCAACCAACGCAGCACATGATCCCAAGCAAGCCCATGCCAGTGACATACATCAGCAAGGCGACCACTGCAATTTCGATCTCACCACACCAGTGACCTACAAGCCACCGCACGCTCACTTAGTCCAACAGATGCCGAACACGCTCAAGACCACCGCCACAACGACGTCGGCAACTACACCTGCACCTACATTTACTGCAATGATCAAGTGGCCGCCATCGTGCATCTACCTGCCTTCGCACCCGCCGCCACCTGCACTCGTGCCACCGATTTTTTACCCTCCAGAAGAGGACACTAACACGCAGCAGCGGCTGCAAGCCATCCTTTGGCGGTAGTTAGCCCCGCAGGCACTGGCGACGCGCCTGTTTCCCGTCGCAAGCCGCTCAGACAACCGCAACGCGCCAAGAAGCAGCGCGACGCTGAGAGCAACGTATTCACGTCTTCAACTGGCGCATCATCTTCATCAGCGCTATTGGCGACCCCTGTTCCAGAACTACATCGACAGGTTGCACGCGCGCCAAGCCCGCTGCGAGAGCTACCTCAACTGCGTAGACGTACGCGCGCGTGGAGCACCCTCCACGGGGCCACCGCCCACGCACATTGTAGCCATGCACGGGGCCGCTCCCAAGCCAGAGCCGACAATCGCCGCGACGCGCCAACCGAACTGGACAGGGCGACCGACCTACACCACTCGATGCATGCGGCAAACTGCCGCAACATCCACAACAAGCCCTACACGTGGTCTCTTACCGCAGAAGGACACCTATTGCTAAGGCGGCACGACCGTGCCAGCAGTCAGACAGTATACGCATACCACTGCCTTGCAATACATTCCGCCGCCGTTTCGTCGCGCGGCCCTTTTGACGCGTCAGTGGCGCTCCTTACTTGTAGGTTTGGTGTCAACCTGTAAAACCCTGTGTAGCAGCCCCAGGATTGCCTTTGCTATTCTTGCGTGCACATATTTCCTACACCCCACCCGCCGCATCACGACTGCGCGCTCTCGCTCCTCCCTCGCACGGCCAATAATGTGCATTGTGGAAGTTTGATGCAGGTTCTCGTCCACGTGCCAGGGCGCCAGACATATGCCCGACTGTGTCGCTGTAGCGGCACGTCGTTGCAGTATAATTGGCAGGTCGCGTGCTAGCGCGTACAGGCAAGCCGCGCTAGCCAGCGTCATCTCTGGGGCACTCTACACCCGGCTCGGCCTGCATTGCGCATGCTCCGTGGTTGGGGGGTGGGGGGTGGGGTGGGGGGTCTTGGTTGGGGACGGATGGGGGATGACACCTCGATTGTGGAGGCGCTTTGCCACCTGCTGTGGTCTGTCGAGTACGGCCACTCCCTACTCGCCTTCAGCGCTAGCTTACCTCGTCTTCTATCCGCTCGTGCAGCGTATTCTCCGCCCGCCAAGTCGCCAGGCCTATGTCTTACTTGTCGCTGAAGCGACCATTGTTGCAGTTTCAAACCGACCGCGCTTAGTCATCCAAGCAAGCCTCACTCGTGAAGGCTTTGCCATGCCAGCCTCCTCGCGCAGGCCAGCCACATATAACTTTCGCACGGCGCAGTGCTCAACCACGCTGTCTTATATCCAGGGACCCGACGTGAGCAATTTGCCCACGCACGAGCCCTAGCGGCGCAGTTCTTCCAGAGGGCCCAGTTGTTGGGCAATATGGGTTCGTGCCAAGCCCGAGAGCAGCCACGCGCAAAGCGCGAAGGTCCCAGTGCCGAGGTGGGTCGGGGTGAGCCCGAGAACCCTGGGCGGCAACCTTGGAACTGCCGCGCTTTACTGCTCTTCGCCATGGCAGCTCAGACCCACCTTCTTGCCCTCCGCATTCAACCCAGACACTCTTGCTGGGAGTGGGGGCGGGGGGGTGGGGGCGGTGATCGAGCTTATGGGGTGGGGAGTTCTATTTATCATTTAAGACTTCAAACCCTCAGCGGAGGGGTGCCAGCCCCGCTGTGGGCTGCTGATCGCCGTGCGCTCGCTTTGCCCAACGCGCCTTGCTCAGCCGTACCTTCGGCAGTCACCAGGCGCCACCATTTTATATGTACTCATATTCTCACGCTGCGTAGCACTTGCGCCTGTGCCTGAGGCAGCTGGCGCCATATCACCTAGGTTTTGGATGGTTGGAGGGTGCTCTCACGTGCTACGCTGAGTCACAGCTGCCGCCCGCTCCGAGCGCAGAGTGGCACGTGCCACAACAGTGGAGGCATTTTGCCACCTATTGTGGTCTGTCGAGTTCGTCTGCTCCACGCTCTCTTTCAGTTCTGACATAGGCTGCTAGCACAATGCCGCTCGCACGTCATTGCCAATGTAAATGTTGAGGGAACCTGATTGCCCCAAAGAGCGCGCCATGCGCATGCCCGACTTTATCGCTACAGCGACGCTCATTTGCAGTCCAAAACGGCCACTCGCTGTGAATTGCCTTCAAGCAAGCCTCACTAGCCAAAGGCTTTGCATCAGGCCAGCCTCCGCGCGCACGCCAGCCTGATATAGATATTGCAATGCACTACTCCTCCGTCTCCCTAGAGGTTCCTTTCTTGACGCGCCAGTGGGGGAGCGTACTCAGGGCTGAGAAAAGGGGGGCGGGTCTGCATGAACAAGTCTCCTCACTTGCTGGCTGCTCGGCATAGTCCCTTGCATGTTTAACGGTTTTTTGCCACCCGAGGAGGCACTACTTTTAGATTCTACGGGTGTTTATGCTTAACTAGTCGGGGTATTTGGTAATAAAGGTCAGTGCCATCCTTGAAGATCTGGCGGGTGCCTACTCTTTGCGCAAATCTTAGCTTCGCTTCTTTTTATGCCATTTTCCGCGGCGCCCAGCGGGCATTTCTTTGACCCGAGTCGCACCTGATACTTTTTGACATGCATCATTTCATTAGCGCAACAGGCTCGCTCCTAGTGTCGGTCTGATGTAAAAAAAGAGGAGGAGGAGGGAGGAGGGAGGGAGGAGGAGGCGGAGGATGCAGAGGAGGGAGGAGGGAGGAGCCGGGGCAGGGCAGAGTGGCAGAGGGAGGAGCGAGGCAGGAGACGGCGTCGGAGGAGCCTCCGAGGCAGGACCTTCTGGGGGTGGGGGCGGCGGCGGCGGCGCGGCGCCGACGGGCCTCGGCGGGCGCCCCTCCGCGCCGCGCCGAGGATGCTCCCGATCGGCTCGCTGGCGCCCAGCGCCCTCTGGTGGCACACCTTCCGCGCCTTCGAGGCGAGGCCGACGCAAGGCGGCCCGCCCCGGCCTCGGGCCTCGCCGCCCTGCATCTTCGGGGGGCCTTGTCTGTCCCATCGCGCCGCGATCCACGTCGAATCCGCGTCGGATCCATGCGGAATCCGCGTCGGGTCGACGTCGAGTGCGCGCCGAATCCGCGTCGTGCACTTGAAAAAAGACAGCCGCTTGTAGGACAGACAAGGCAAGACCCACCGACGATGCACGCACGACATGGGCACGGAACGAGTGGGTGCGATGCCCAACAGCGGATCTTGTGCCTTTTGGGCAGGGCTCGCTGTCCACGCCGCCGCGGCCGGTGTCCCTTCGAGGCAGGAGGCCGCCTGCCCGACAGCGGCCGCTGCTGGCTTGGGACAACATTTGCTGTTGGGCATCGTGCCCATGTTTTCGGTACCCACTTCGGGCGTCCAAAACCGCGGGAGCTTCAGACTCGGAGGGGGGAAAGGTGCCGCTAGATCCCTCCCCCTGCTGGGCCTCACTGGGGTCTTCCGGGGCGCCCTCGCCGCCGCGGCGGGACTCGCTGCGAGATTCTGGCCGGGACGCGCCCTGGGAGAGGGCCCGGGAGCAGCGGTGTCGGTGCCTGCTGGTTTCCCCACTGACGGCACCTGCGGGCGCCTGGGAACCCGGAGCTACGGAAGCGCCCTCCTCCCTCGTCGCTCCCCCCTCTGGCGGCACACCTTCCGCGCGTTCGACGGGGAGCCGACGCAGGGCAGCCCGCCCCGCCCGCGAGCCTCATCGAGGGAGCCTCAGGCACAAAGGGAGAAAACGGTGCCGTGGGTTGGGATTTATCGGTGGATGGGGGAACGAAGAGAAGTCCATCCGTGCGCCGCCCCCCAGCGACCTGCCGGCGTTTCTTCCTGGGCTCGCTGACCTACCTGCTGGCGATGCTCGGCCTGTTCACCGCCTTCGCGCGCCCCCAGAAGGCGAGCGGCGACGGTCCCTCCCTTTTTTCCTCGCTCCCGATGTTGTGTTCTTCACTGGGCTGACTTTACTCGAGTAGCTGTAGCTTCCGCCTTCTCCCCCTTTTTGCTCCTTTCGGTCTCTCTCTCTCTCTCTCTCTCGCTCTCTATCATTCTCTCTCTCTCTCTATCTGTTTCCGGTCTCTATTTGTATATCTACGTATCCATACGTATATCATTCTCTCTCACTCTCTGTGCTCTCTCTCTGATCTCTCTCTCTCTCTTTCTCCCCCTCTCTTTTTTGTTTGTTTGCGCTCTCTCTCTCTCTCTTCCTCTCCCCCTCTCTCTCTCTTTCTCTCCCCCCTCTCTCTTTATTGCTATATGCATAGATTTCCCAGGCAGTGCTTGCACGTATAGGTTTTTACTTCTCTTCTAAGGATCTTGGCCTGCGCGTCGGTGTGGCGGCTATGTGGCTATGTGGTCGCCGTCGCCGCCTCGTCGCCGCCCGCCTGCGCAGGCAGCCATGTGACCGCCGTCGCCGCCTCGTCGCCGCCTCGTCGCCACCCCGTCGCCGCCTTGTCGCCGCCCGTCGTCTTCGCCTGCGCGTCGGGTCCGCCGCCTTGCGGTCGCCGTCGCCGCCCCGTCGCCGCCTCGTCGCCGCCCGTAGACAGCACCACATAGATTGCACAACATAGACTGCACCACGTACAATGCACAACGTATGGTGCATCTCATTTATTGCGCCACATGGATTGCACATATGTTGCACGACGTGGATTGCACCACGTCGGTTGCACCACACTCTTGCCAGCGCGGACGGGGCCCAGCGTTACGGCACGACAGACGAGCGACAGACGACCGACGAACGACGGCGGGGCGGGGGAGGGGGGGAAGGGGGGGGTGGGGGGAAAGGCACGCGCCGCGCGCCTGGGCCCTCAGGGGGCCATGCCGGCCGGCGGGGGGCGGCCGCGCCCCGCGCCCCCGCCGCGCCTGTCCGGGCAGCGCCCGGCCGCGAGCCCGAGCAGCCCGTCGCCGCTGCCAGCAGCGCCACCGCCTCCCGGCCCCCGGGAAGGGCCCGCCAGGCCGCCGCCCGCGCCCGGAGCTCGTCGGCCTGCGCCGCCTACGGCTGGCCAGCCAGGCCGGCCGCCTCCTTGAGCCGCGCCGCCTCCGCCGCGGCGCGCGCCCGCGGCCGCGTCGCCGCCTGGCTTGCCGTTGGCGCCGTCCGCCGCCTCACCAACGCAGGCCTGCTCGGCGCAGCCCCCCGCCCGCCAGATGGCCGGGGGCGGCGTCGCCACTGCGCGGCCGCCCCAGCCCGCGTCTGGGTCGCTGGCGTCATCCGACGCGTCAGCCCAAGGCTGGGGGCCGTGCAGCGCCCAGCAAGGCGCCTCCAGCGCGTCGTACTCCCTCTCGATGGAGTGTGTTCGCCCCAGTCCAGGTGCACGAGCCCGTGCGGCTCGCGCGGCCGGCAGCCCGGGCTCAGCGCGCGTGCGCTCCTGGCCCGAGTGACCACCGGAGGAGGACCTGCCTCTCCGGGAGGTCCACCGCTGGGCAGGCACGGAGATGCGGCGCACGCTACCTTCATGATCGAGAAACAGCGCACACCAATGCATCCATCATAGAGAACGGATGCACACACACAGAGCTGTTTCCTTCATATAGTAATAGGACTATGCCAAAAAAGGCGGTGGACCACCGCCGTGATCCCCGACCAGCCGGCTTGGTGGAGAGCCGTTGCGACCAGTCGCGCGCTGGGCACGCCTGGCAAGCCCTCCGTTGCTGCCGTTGCTGGCTCCGTCGGCCCCGCCGGTGCCAGCAGCTCCGTCGCGGCAGCCCCTGCTGCCGCTGGCGCCTCTGGTCGCTCCCGTCGCCCCTCCGCGGGGGCTGGTGGTTGCAGCTCCGTCGCGGCCTCCGGCTCCTTCGCGGCCTCCGCCGCGGGCGCGGTGGCGCGGGCGCCGCCTGCGCCGTCGGCGCGCCCCGCGGCCGCCTGCGGTGCTGCCGGCGCCGCTGCTGCTGCCGGCCGTGCTGCGCCAGGTGTCGCGGTCCGACGCGCCGCCAGAGCTGCCCCTGCAGCTGCCGCTGGCTTGTCGTCCGCCGTGCCGCCCTCGTCGTCCGTGTAGTTCTCGGAGTAGTGGCAGCTGCTCGGCTCTTCTGGGGGCCCCAGCGCCGCCGCTGCCGCCGCTGGCGCCAGCGCGGCGGATTGCTTCGCCAGCGGAGCCAGCGTCAGGAACGCCCGCTCGCAGGGGCGCCCGGGGCCCGGCGGGCCAGGACCGGGGCCAGTCCGCTTGCCGGCCTGCCGCGAGCGGGAGCGGGCGCGGGTCCGGGAGGGGCCGCTGCGCCGGCGGCGGCGGCTGCAGCTTCGGCTGCGGCGCCGCCCCAGTCCTCTCCAGCGGCGCCGCCCCCACCTTAAGGGGCCCCGGGCTCCAGCGAGCGGCGCCTCTCGAGCGAGCGCTTCGTCGGCGGGTTCCGCGAGCGCCGCCCAGGGCCGCCGCCGAGCCCAGCCCACGACTCCTGCTCCGGCGCTCGCCGGCAGGGGGCTCCGTCCGGCTGGCGGCTGCGCCTCGGCGGCGTCGCTGGCCGGACCGGCGCCACCGTCGCCGTCGCCAGCGCCTCTGGTTGGGGCCGGGCCCGGGGGCGCATGACCTCGGGGCCCGGGGAGGCCGCCCGCGCCGTGCCGCCGGGCCGCCCGGCCGCGCCTTCGCTTTTGCCCTCTCCTGCCCCGCCCCCCGCCAAGGCGGCGGCTCCGGCATCGCACCACTGGCCTGGTGCGGGGGGGACGGTCACCGAGGTGGCAAGCAGCTGCCAGCCCGCCGGGAGGTGGGGGAGGCAGACCCAACACCCCCCCGGCAGCCATTGCATGCGCCGGCGCGCGCCCGCGCGCCGCGCCCCACGGCCCCTCGGCTCCCCTCGAGCCGATGGCCACGGCAAGTTCCCCCCCCAGAAGGGTTTGGGAATTTGAGCCAAAATGGCTTGAGCCAAAATGGTTGCGGACGTCGGTTGCACCACACAGATCGTGCACCACATAGATTGCACCACATGTATTGCACAGCGTATGTTGCACCCCATACATAGCACCACGTAGCTTAGTTACATCACGGGTATCGTACCACATCTTGCACTGCAGGGATTGCACTGCGCTGCTTGCACCACCCATACTGCACCACGATATTGCGCATAGATTGCCCAACCTACATCGCACCACGTAGACTGTACAATATAGATGACACCACGTAGATCGCACAACATATGTTGCACAGCGTAGATTGCACCACATGGATTGCGCCGCATCGATTGTACCAGATAGGTGAGTTATTACAGAAAAGAAAGAGGATCTACAATCCCTCCCCGGGGTCCTCCGTCCACCCAAGGGATGTACAATTTACACGTGATTCTGGCCCACCTTTCATTCTAGGTATGAGTTCATACTTCCAGCCAAGCCGGTATCGACACTCCCTCTCGTCTTTTTAAAATTATACTATTCGTGCGCACTCGTTTTTTTCAACAATCCCTTGCAACATGTGGTACGAAGTGCGCGCACGCGCGCGCCGTCGTGTGCGCACTCAGGCGTCGTTCGAATTTCAGCATCGAGAGTCCCGAAGTCATAAAAGTGCGACATGGTCAAACAACAAGGGTCTGCGCGGGCGCTCTTGCGAGTTATTTAGAACACCGTTCGCTTTGCAATATTATCATCAACTGCGATCAGACGGGACGGGCCTCTCGCGTGCGCATGTCGAAACCACTTGAACGCTCTTGCGCGCGTGCGGGGAGGGATGATCTCTGTCCTCAAATACAATGCGGGTCACTCGCGCCCGTCGGCCGCGCGCGCATGTCGAAATCGTTCCAAAATCTTCATCGCCGACACGTTGACACCATCATCGTTATTCAAGAGGCTTACGCCATTCCGCTGACCTCCAGAAGAGGCGGGGGGTCCAACGTCCACTGTTGTTGAGGCGTCGTGGGCTTCTTGGGCACTATCTGGGGACTCTTGTAGGCGTCTTGGGAACTTTTTGATGGCGTGGCTG